ACTTTAGAGTAAGTAAGTTTTTCCTACACGGCCTTCACCACCACCTGCGTAAAGGGTACGTTACGCAGGTGGTGGTGAATCCGCTGTGAGGAGGGCATAGGTTTAACCAAACTATAGTTTATGGTCTATGGCTCCGCCGCCAAACTGGTTTCAGCCACAAAGGGAATAAATTACATGGTAGAGCCATGCTGCAGCTATATTATGGTTGTAGCACGAATGAGTCGGCTCGACCGGGGTGGAACCACGCTTTCACAGAATACCAGTGTAAAATAGCAGCTTAATGTTGCTAAGTTTTTATGGTGAGTGTAGAGAACCGGAGACCCATTTTACTGGAAACGAGACACTCCATCTTAGTCCTCAGAAGTGACAACGCATTTGGATTTCGATTCTTAATCGAGGATAAATGTAGATGTCTATGTGCCATAGTATCCACTTACCATTAAGGTGGACTGTGTGCTCGTTTGTCACCCTTATTCTAAAAAAAAAATTATTTTGTTGCTCCCGCAGCGGAAGGTATCCGTGAGAATTTCCCCGCGATAAAAAGGGGGTAGTTCGGGTCAATAGCCGAATGGCTGACTCGAACCTACGTCCATATAGAATGGCATTTGATACCCTTAATCTTTCTCCTTCAGTTTAAGCTTCATTTTAATTTAAAGAAAAAAAATCACACACAATTTAAATTGTTTTTACTACTGTCCAAGACTATGAGAAGAATAAGTTAATTGACGGCTTCGTGGCGCAGTGGCTTAGCAATGAGTCGCAGCGCTAAGAGCCGCGGGTTCGAATCCCGCACGGAACCAGTATTTGTATGACCTACAAATAATTGTTCCGGGTCTGGATGTTTATCCTTGTGAAATTTATGTATTTAAGAGAAAATCCTAGTGTGTAGGTAACGTAAGCATTTAAAAAAAAAACAAAGAAAAAAGATAAAGTAGCCACTTCTCGGTCTTTTGGCAAAGATCCTCAACAGCAACACTGCTTATATTAATGTGATACAGGGCACCATACGCCTGCTGCATCCAGTAGTGAACTTTAGCGGGCATATGAAAAATAACAAAAGAGCACAGTCTATCTATTTGTAAGTGGATGATGTGGCCCAAAGACACCATCCCGATCCAATCCAATCCGAGATTCAGAAACAAAATACAGATGCTTTGTCACTCCTGACTTAGGTGGACGCACACCGGTAAAAATACTCTCCGGCTTTCGTAACTTATCATACGAAATACAGTAGCATTATGCCGCTTCTTTACGCTGATATTCTGTGCGAGTGTGGTCCCTCTTACGTCGAAATGAACCATTAGTGCTGTGGCCATAATTAATAGAATAGAATAGAATAATTTTTTATTCAATATTGATTATTACATAATACTTATTGAAAGTCATTTTTTATTTACCACTGGTTCGGAAAATACCTCAGTCCTGGGAAGAACCAACAAGAAACCCAACAAGACTTTTTTTTTAAACATAATTTCACTTAACAATAACTTTGTTTATACAATTTTTAAACGATTTTTCATAGAACCAGCATGGTGGCGATCACATTATTCCCAGGGATTATTTTCATTCATGTATTCCTTGATATTATAATAACCCTTTTTGTACAGTTTTTCTTTAATAAAACTTTTAAACTTGTTTATTGACAAACTTTGAATATGTTCTGGGATTTTGTTGTAAAAGCGTATACATTGCCCCATAAATGAATTACTGATTCTGTGGAGTGTAGTAACTGGGATTACAAGCTATGTTTGTTCCTAGTATTTAAAGCTATTTATGTTTTTATGCACATACATTACATTCTCATAAATATATTGCGATGCCAAAGTTAATATGTTTATTTCTTAAAATTTTTCTCTGAGGGACTCTTTACAATTCAGGTTATAAATCGCCCGTAAGGCTCTCTTTTGCAAAACAAATATAGCTTCAATATCAGCCGCATTACCCCATAGCAAAATTCCATAAGACATTACGCTATGAAAGTAACTAAAATACACTAATCTGGCTGTCTCAACATCTGTGAGACTTCTAATCTTTCTTACAGCATATGCTGCAGAACTAAGTCTGCTTTTATTAATAATTTAGATATATGGGGGCCCAATGAAGTTTCGCGTCAATAGTAATACCAAGAAAAACAGTGGTATCCACAAGACTCAACTCCTCCCATTTAACAGCACATTGGTATTCGAATGTTTTACATTAGGTATTGTAAATTTAATACACTTTGTCTTATTGCCGTTTAAGAGCATATTGTTGGCGTTAAACCAATGTACCAATTTCGATAGAGCATTATTTACATCGTCATAATTAATGAACTGTCGTTTGAGTTTGAAAATTAAAGACGTATCGTCAGCAAATAATACTATATCGTGATTGTCCCCTACAAGATAAGGTAAGTCGGTAATATAGATTAAAAACAGGAATGGGCCAAGAATCGAGCCCTGAAGAACGCCCATTGATACTACCGATCCAGAGGAACGTTTACCATTAATCACTACTTTTTGATTTTTGTTACTTAAATATGAAGTAATAAGTCTAAGCGTTAAATTTTTTACACCGTAATGTTGTAGTTTCCTGATTAATGTCTCATGATGAACACAATCGAAAGCCTTGGAAAGATCACAGAAAATACCTAAGGCATCTTGTGAATTCTCCCAGGCATTAAAAATATATTTCATAAGCTCAACACTAGCGGCAGACGTCGAGCAACCGCTTGTAAAACCAAATTGGTTTTTATGAAGTAATTTATTTGTATTAAAAAAAGTTAACAATTGATCCAAAATAATTTTTTCAAAAATTTTACTGAGAGTTGGTAGTACAAAAATAGGTCTAAAATTAGCGGGGTCCAATGTACTACCAGATTTAAATAAAGGTATTACTTTACTATACTTCATTAAATCAGGAAACAAACCAGAATCGATGCAAGTATTAAAAATAATAGCAAGATGAGGTGCAATTAAATCTATTATAGACGCAATAACTGTAACGGAAATCCTCCACATATCGGCGGTATTCTTTACATAAATGGTTTTGAAGTATTTTACAACATCTTGTGATAATACTTTTTCAAATCTAAATTCTTTTAAACAGGTGTTAACATTCTGTTTGAGTAATGACTCGGCGACAGTTGGAGAAGTATTCAATGACTCGGTTGTCAAGATAGGAATATCAGTGAAATATTTCTCAAACACCGCTGTGACTTCTTGATTTGATTTAGTCAATTCATTGTTAATTTTTAATTGATAGTTTGCGTTACGAGGTTTGTCTTTACCGGTTTCATTGTTAATTATACTCCACGTCATTTTAATTTTATTCTTAGCCGTCTTAATTTTGTTGCTAATATGTAACGATTTGGCTATGGAGCAAACTCTTTTAAACATTTTAGAAAAATTTTTAACATATTCTTTAAAAGCGTCGGAAAGATTATATGATCTTTCATGGTGAAGGTCATATAACCTTCGTCTGCTTTTATGAATTCCTACTATCGCCCACTCATTAAAATGCCTTGCGACTGTTTCTGGAGAATGTTTTAGAAGTTAATGTTTTTTTTTAAATTCATTGCTTATAAGGGTAAATAATTCTCCATATAAATAGTCTGCATTGTTTTTATAAGAAAGTGATGGAAGGTTTTTTACCATATTACTTCTAAATCTCTCCAGTCGTTTTGTATTAATAGGAACAAACACACTTTTCTCAATTACCCGTTTTTTGTGCATATAAGGTAATGAAACCAGTTGGCCACAGTGATCTGAACTAAGTTTTTGAATTATTGATTTCTTGATTGGTACAACACCTGTAAAAATATTATCAATACAAGTTGCACTACACCCTGCAATACGTGTAGCTTCAAAGAATAAATTATCAAGATTATAGGATTTGAACAAAGAGCAAAATTTAATACTGACGGAATAAGTTTCCAGGAGATTGATATGAAAGTCTGCACACACTATAAGAGTTTTATTGTTTATTAAGCTTAACTAAAACTTCTTCCATAACCTTTTCAAAGGTACGAGTATCATAATTTGAACATGGGGGTCTGTAAATACTGACAACAATAAGGTGCTCAAGCTCAACGCATGCCATTTCTACAGTACGCTCAACAGAGAGGCTCACAATGTCTTTACGTTCTTTATATGATAAGGATTTATTAGCTAATATTAAGAAGCCACCACGTAACTTAGTATCTATATTGAACGAACTGACCACCTGGTGATTACTGAAATTAAATATGGAGTTGTAATCTTTCAACCAATGTTCAGTAATACATAAAATATGTATACTGTTACTATCAAAAAATATTTCAATTTCTAATTCTTTACCTAACATACCTTGTATATTTTGATGCACCAGGTTGATACAGTTTTTATTGTTGTTATTTTGTGATTTTGTGCTATATTCCATTATTGCATAATACACTGCAACGTATATCTTCCACGTAAAAAACCACTACCAAAACATTATATCATAAATACATTAAACTTGCCTCTCTATATTAAGTACTACGTTAAGTTAAGAAAGAGTGGGAACACCGTTATCAATATCATTGTTACTGAATGTTCTAAATTTAAATGTCATATACTAATTTTAATGACAATTAAAGTTCTATTATATTTTAACTGCAATGCATTTAATGATTGCAATGATACAAACCAGCATGCAGTCAATCTCATTGTAAGTGAATGCTGTGACCCATAGTGGGTGTCTAGGGTTCACAGCATTCACTAACAATGAGATGGACTGTATGCTTATCTATCTTCGATTAAAAATCAAAATTCAGACGCATTGTTACCCCTGAGGACTAATATGGATTACCTTGTTTCCGGTAAAAAGGGTTTAAAGGTTAGTAGCGACCAGAGCTCGCTCGCGTGCTATGTTTAATATGTAATTTTATGGAGAGCGTTTAACCCTTAAAATACCACGGGATCTGATCACTTAAAAATTTGTTTTGTTTATATTATTGTTAAATCTTGTTTCCAAACTTATGCAAAATGATTTATTCGAAGGTACTGACAAGAGATTCCGTGACGGTGGCAGTTGATGCAGTCGTTTATTACAGGATCAAAGAACCATTAAACGCTGTGGTTCGAGTTGCAGATTACAGGTGAATGATTAAATTAGTATGTTGTTGTTGTTGGTTAAAAATCTTAAATCTTCGAAAGCTCTTCACCGATTGCTTTGAAATTTTGACATAGCATTGCATTCTAATACGCGCGTGCTACTTTTTGAATAAACATTGCTAGCAATGCGTGACCGGGTAAAGTTACGAGTATTCTATTTCACGATGAAGTTTTGATTTTGGTTGTTGTTAGCCGTGTACATACACATTGTGTTAGTGTGTGTAGGCCTCAGGAGCGCTCCCGATGCCTACGCACACTACGTACACAACTGGCAATCAAACAATAAAATCCATCCGAAAAAATTCCTACACAAAAAATACCTAGTATAATTTATTAAAAACATTAATGGTAGAAATATTTAAAGAAATATATAAAAAATATGTATAATATATAAGCTAAGTACCTAAAACACTTTTTAGTGCTTCGACTCGTCTTCTAGCCGCAACAACGCTGCGTAATGTCCTGGGGATGAGAGATCTAGCACAATTATTATCAGATCGCGAAGCCATCAGCCACATGATGCAAGCGAACCTGGATGAGGCCACTGATCCCTGGGGTGTTGAAGTGGAAAGAGTTGAAATGTAAGATGATTTTTGTGTAATTAGTAATAAACTATGATTTAGATCCACGCTGCAGTAGTATTATGACTGGGTTGGCTCGATCGGGGAAAAACCACGTGCTCACAGAATACAAGCGTAAATAGCAAAGTATTTATATGAGGAGTGTATAGAATCAGAGACCCTTTTTACTGGCAATGAATTATTCTATTTAAGTCATCATGAGTAACAACCTACGAGTATCTGCAATTTGATTCTTTATCAATTATACACACAATATTCACCTACCATCAGGTGAACTGTGTGCTCGTTTTATTTTTTTATTGAGCGTTCATAAGAAGATCGATCGAACATTGTATTTTAATAACATTCGATAGCGGATGATATGTTTATTTTTAAATATATAAATAATACTGAATAAGTGTTGAAGTTAACTTTATCACAAGAGATTTTAAAGTCGGTACCAATCATATTTAATCAGTTTACGCTTATTTAAAGCTCTTATAATTGTCAAAATCTACCTTGAAAACAGCGGGACTTCTAAGGAGAAGAATCCTTAAAAATTATTATTATTTTCTTTTTTTTTTGTTATGAAATTGATACTTTTATATTAATTTGTAAATAAATTTTATATTGCACATCTCACAATAGTTGTTAATTCTGGCAACTATTGAAATAAAAATAAAATTATAGATTCATTTACAAAGCCTTGTTTAAAAAGTCTTAATGACAATATTATATTTAGCAAGGATGTGAGACTACCCGTGCAGCTGCAGAGAGCGATGGCTGCTGAAGCTGAAGCTGATAGAGAAGCCAGAGCAAAAATTATTGCCGCTGAAGGTGAAATCAAGGCGTCAAAAGCGCTAAGAGAAGCGTCACTTGTTATGATCGACAACCCTATGGCACTACAAGTAAGAAAATATCTTATAAATCTGGTCTAAGGTTTTTTTAAGTACTATTACGCTTACATGCGATATAAGAAACTTATTTTATAAATTTAATTTGATTCCAACTGTTTAACTTCAGTTTACAAACATTATTTTAAAGGAAAGGCACAGTACATAAACTTATTCTTCAATTATTTACGTGTATATTGTATAATAATACTATTTACTCGTAGGTGATCGAAAATAGAGATTATTCATATAACATAACAAAAACTCTCACGCCTGCCACCCAGAGAAGTAGGCAGAAATTACAGACTTCCATTTCCATTATTACACCTCTTTAACTTCTTTTATATCCATATATTTATGGATATATGTTCATCGGTTGAGGGAAAATCCCAATTAAGTCCTATTTTCAATATTTGCCAATTTAATCAATTAATTTGCGTCTAGGATGTCCCTTGCCGACTCTACCATCCACTTTTGCAGCATAAATTTGCTTTGTCACTCTTTCTCGTTCATTCTTTCTACGTGCCGAAAACACCAAAAAAAGGCGCTAAAATGACTTGTATACTGTGCCGATAGGCAATCAACATAACATTCAACTAGGGGGCTTCTCTGTTATTGATAATGCCTTAGATATTATATTGAAAATTAGTCTACCAGAAGTGACAATTTAATAGTGTTTGTGTGAATCACTAAAACAATAATAAGGTACATGCGGCCTGCGGGCAATAAGGCCCTAAGTAACAAAAATCATATTTATAATAACCGCTTTCACTCAAGGAGATAATTACAAACCCCTATTACACGATAATGTCTCTACAAGTTTGTATAGAAGCCATACCCCGCGTCCTGTTTTATCTATCATAAGATACAACCGCAATGCACCAATAATAAAAGTGAGTTGAAATAAATTGTGGGTATGTTTTGTAATATAATTTTTTTATATGATAAGGGTGACAAACGAGCACACAGTCCACCCGATGGTAAGTGGTTGCTGTGACCCACAGACATCTACATCTATCCTCGATTAAGAATCAAAATGCAGATGCGTTGTCACCCGTGAGGATTAAGATGGGATGCCTCGTTTCCAGTAAAAAGAGTCTCCGATTCTCTACACTCACCATACGCAACACGGCAGCATTAAGCTGCTATTTTACGTTGGTATTCTCTGAGATTTTCTACAAGCATACTTGAGATTCGTGCTACAACTATACCAGTTTACACTTAGCTATCTAAAATCGTAATCATTATCTTTATGAATAAATGCTTTGTTGAACTTGAAGATATGAAAAACTTATCGTGGTATTTTTTTTTAATTTGGTTTTTATTAAATACTTCGTCGACGGTTATCAAGGCCTATTAAATTTCACTTTCTCGTCTTATTATACTCCTTTGCTTGTGAAGTGTTTTTTTTGTTTTATAATGTATTTTATATCAATTTTGATAATGTTATAAATGCAAATAAATTGTACGCATTTATTATTAAACTAATGTCGTAGTCAGAAAACGACCTGCTTACAGCTGTCCAAACAGTGCAAATCAAAGTGTGTCGAACAAATATGACATTAGAAGCTATTAAATTATATGTAAATTATATGTCCTGCGCCTAAACTCTCTCGGAACGTGTCGGATTGCAATTTGATGATTGTGAGAGAATAGAGAGTGCACCTACACACTATAATTCTTTATTGTTATAACTTAGCCTCCGTTGAGGCAATTTATATATTTTTTTTAATTTTATGTCTTAATTGCTTCTTTCATGTGATAATTGATCACAAATATTAAATATATTCCGAATAGTTTGATTATTTGAGTCCTTTAAAGCAGTAGGCCTTATCATCCTACCATAGTAAAATAAGGACTACTCTAGCAAGGTTTTTAGAAATGTTTAATTTTGTTTTTCTATAAGATAAATGTTACAATTTTTCGTTTATACTTTATAGAAACTGTACAAAACCAACGATTTTTATTAAAATCTGTAGACCAAATTGAATATTTCTCTTTTTTTTTAGAATTACCGTTAGCTAGGCCTTATTACCCGCAGGTAACAGGTAATAATAAACAAATACTCTCATGAACATAATAATAAATAAAAACTCAATTCACTGAATTGGCTTCAGTATCGTTTTTATATTTACTGACAACTATTTTACAGATTTATCACATGTATATTTTTTTAATTTTTAATACTTGTAAAGATAGCGTATTCAAATTCTTTCACAACATTAAAACATATCTATTCTAATACGTTTAAGCTTAGTGAAATGGGCTTTTCCCCGCACCTGGTGCAGATTTGAATTTAAATGAGATCAAAATTTTGAATTGCAAATTTTAGTTAGAATTTATACCAGTTGGTACGCTTTTAAAACAAAACATCACGAAAAAAAAAAACAAAATAATATCAACAATATTTTTGTGATTCTTTTTATATTTTGTTCTATTAACACAATGCTTGTCTTTATGTATGTATTATGACTTTACGATACAGGAGAAATTCTTAATGTGATACGTTCCTTCACTAGGCTCATCTGTGAATAGGTGTTCCTTCCGCGAAACAATACGATTCTGGATGCTTACTTTTTGTAATAATAATAAACACTTTGAAATACCTTTTTGGTTGGTTTCAGCTAAGGTACCTGCAGTCACTTAACACAATATCAGCTGAGAAGAATTCGACGATAATTTTCCCTTTCCCTATGGATTTCTTGAGGACGTTTTTGGGTGGTGCGGCTCCGAGCATGTCGCATTCATTACCTATTTAATATAGACTCAAGTGTAATGCGACGAAATTGTAATCTTAAATCATAGTTTAAATATATTATGATAACTGCTAAAAATTTCTTTTTCTTTTCATCTCTATATTATAAAATGAATTGCTGTATCCGTTAGTCTCCCTAAAACTCAAAAACGGCTGTATGATTTTGATGAAGTTTATTGTGTGCGTTTGAATGGGTCTCTAGATCGTTTAAATTGCCATTTGGACTCGGTAGATGTCTACCGAAACTACTCTGAGCTGAAATAAATTCTAACTATTCCGCTAAGTGGCACTATTGTCAAGATCTAGAAATCGCCCGTGCGAGGCAAGGCGCATCACTAGTCATTAAATAAATATGTCAGCTTTTACCCATTACGTGCTGTGATTAGCGACTTTGTTTTTTATAGGATAGGGTGACAAACGAGCACACAGTCCACCTGGTGGTATGTGGTTACTGTGGCCCATAGACATCTACATCTATCCTCGTTTGCGACTCAAAATGCAGATGCGTTGTCACCCGTGAGGACTAAGATGGCATGCCTCTTTTCCAGTAAAAAGGGTCCCCGGTTCTCTACACTCACCATACGAAACACAGCAGTGTTAAGCTGCTATTTTACGCTGGTATTCTGTGAGAGCGTGGTCCTTCCCCGGTCGAGCCGACCCATTCGTGCTACAACTATGCAGCATGGCTCTACCACGTGTAGAATTATTATTATCGTAATCACCGTTTTTTTTTTATAGGAAAGGGTTCAAACGAGCATGTGGCTCACCTGATGGTAAGTGACTACCGCTGCTCAGAACAACCGCAACACCAAAGGAACCAGGTGAATTGCAGATATACCATCAAATAGTACTACTGAAAATGAGTAAAGAAATTTAAAAAATATTGCCATCAATACTAAACACTGCCAATACTCAATTGCACACTCCAACTGAAATGATAAGATATATTTGGCATGTCCTGTATTCGCCTCCCACATTGACGGGACGAAGTGACGTAATAGATTCTCTTACGTCACCACCACGTAGCATTTACAGTTTACGCCTGACGTAAAATATCCAGACCTTTTTCCAGACATTATACATGGTAGAGCCATGCTGCAGCTATACATCTATATACTTTTTTAATATAATAAAGCGGAAGAGTTTTTTTGTTTTTTTGTTTGCTTAAACGCGCTAATGTCTGGAACTACCAGTCCGATTTGAAAAGTTCTTTTAGTATATTATAGCCAGATTCATGTGGAATAGTATAGGCTGTCTAGCATTAGGCTATATTACTCAGCTAGCCTTAAATATGGATATTTGTTAAGCAAGTCAGAAGAAAAAGCACTCCTGAAATGATTTATCCGCGTACGCTGGTGTTACCGTTAGGGATACGTAAATACAATGTTCTAGAAAAATATAGACCTTAACTCCGTCTAAAAAAATTTTGCGATACCATATGTCTATTTCTTATACATAAGCCATAATTTGGTATTTTGTGACAAAAAAAATATTGAAAATTTATAAGTGATTTATGAGCGTTATTATTAGGCATGGCCTATTTATCCTTACGAACGAAAGTTACTTCATCATCAAGACAATTTTATGAAGATAAACTTTGTTCTTTATACCACATTATTTGGATGCATAGTTTAAGAGATAATGTAAAATTAAAATAATTCAATACTTGGCTGGGCGCGCGAACGACGCTTAAACCCTAGCCGTTATAAAATGCTTGAACTAGATAATATCGCGCACCTCGGACACGTGATGACGCGGGTGAAACCGCGGGGCACAGCTAGTATAAGTATAATTGCAGCACGAATGGGTCGGCTCGACCGGGGAAGAACCACGCTCTCACAGAATACCAGCGTGAAATAGCAGCTTAATGCTGCTGTGTTTCGTATGGTGAGTGTAGAGTACCGGTGACCCTTTACTGGAAACGATGCATTCCATCTTAGTCCTCAGGGGTAACAATGCATCTGCATTTTGATTCTTAATTGACGATAGATGTATATGTCTATGGGCCACAGCATCCACTTATCATCAGGTGGACTGTGTGCCCGTTTGTCAACCTTATTCTACTAAAAAGGCAATAGGGAGTAGCGTCAGCTACGAGACGACTATTACTTCGAACGCTAAACTCTCTACCAAGTGTGGGAATTATTAACCTGTATTTTAGTCCAAATATTGGCATGTCAAATGGAAAATATTTTTTTCATTACATAAAAAACAACTATTCAGTCATAAGCTTGAATTTATTTAACATAAATAACCAACAACATTAACTAACAAACTTAACGAAATAACTTTAAAAGTTATTAAGACTAGTATTCCCTTGAATCATCTTCTTCTTGGTTATTCCGACCATAGTGAACGGTCTGATCAATTTTTTGGGCTTGAGCAGCTGGTTTCTTTTGCACGATAGCCTGTGAAAAAAAATTCAGTTTAAGTCTTTACCCTGTTTCTTATTTTGTTTCCGTCTATGGTCATCATCAGGCTAAAACTATCTACTGATCTAACACTCAATATACGTTTTTTCTCAATTTGAAACGCTTAGTAGTACCTACTAGATCTCTTGCAATTTACATTGCACCATGTTTTGTATTACAATATTTTTTCTTATTAATTTTATAATTATAATTTTAAAATTCCTATTAGTAATTTTTAAAATGGTGATTAACTGAGTTATAGGAAGTTTACTTAGGAATATGACAAAATATCAAACTTGTACGAAATCTTCATGATAATGGAACTTTGATTACTCACGTATATTTATATTTTATGTCGTCTTGGCTCTTTAACAAGGTAAAAAATAATTTGAGCTATAATGTCCCCCCAGACTGAATTACGGTCCCTGCAGCCCGTCTTAACGGAGACTTGTCATCTGTGCAGGACAGGATTATAGTACCCAAGTGTATGCGCAAACACAAGTGCACTCTCTCGCCACCAACTTCCTAACTCCGTACTGCTACTGAGAACTTCTTGACACAAAAACCCACTGAAGTGATTGAAACTAATTTTGGCCCAATCCGGGATTTGAATACGAGACCTCATGATCAGCAACCGCTTTTACGACCACTAGACCTACGAAGCAGTCAATTTAAGCTGTTAAGTACAGTGGCATATCTCTAAACGTGGCTCAAAAGTTACTGAAGCAAATACTTCACCTACATACATATTACATTGGAGTTACACGATTATGAAATGAATTGTGATTGTCCTGCGTTCGACTGTTAGACTAGTTCCCTAATTTTACTTAGAATATTTTCATTACCTTTATTATATATAAAAATTACGTGTCACGTTGTTTGTCCGCGATGGACTCCTAAACTACTGAACTGAATTCAATGAAACTTTGCACACTGTGTGCATTTTGGTCCAACTTGAGAGATAGGATAGTTTTTATCCCGATCAATGATTTAAAAAAAATGATTTAAATGATTGTTTAATGCTGGTTTAAAAATCAAAAATTTTTATTGCGAATTTAAGGATTTTTATAGCAAAGGTCGTTGGAAAGGGCAGAACAACGTCTGCCTGGCGAGCTAGTATATTTATATTTTCTTGGATATCTTATATTTACATAATCGGTCTATTGGTGGTGGCGATGGAACGAGAAAAAGCGGCTGACCGGAGCCGCCGCGCAGTATTTATTTATATTATCATAAGCCTTCCCGCGAAGCAATCCTGATATCATTCTCGTGAACAGTATGTATGGAGAGAGAAGTGGTCCACATCTCGATTCCACCAGTATCATTGGCAACACGCACGCGCGTAATTTTCCGAATGTTGTGCAGCCGAGTTGGATACGTAGATTGACCTCTTTGGCCGAAGTTAATAATATAATATAAAGCAATTTGTCCAAGTTAAACGTCATCGTCAAGAACTTCGACTGTTAATTTTTTATAGAATAAGGGTGACAAACGAGCACACAGTCCATCTGATGGTAAGTGGATGCTGTAGCCCATAGACATCTACATTTATCCCCAATTACCAGCATTAGAGTCCTTAGAGAGCATTCACTTGCCATGAGATGGACTGTATGCTTATCTTCAATTAAAAATCAAAATACAGATGCGTTGTCACCTCTGAGGACTGAGATGGAATGCCTCGTTTGAATTTAAAAAAGACTTCGGTTCCCTACACTCACCATACGAAACACAGCAGCATTTTTTTGCTATTTTACGCTGGTATTTTGTGACGCCGTGATTCTACTCCGGTCGAGCCGACCCATTCGTGCTACAACCATAATATAGCTGCAGCTATATTATGGTAAATATGGCTCTGCTACGTAGAAATGTTATATTTCTTAATTGGCAATTGCCTAGTCATATATCTCTAACCACAGACATAGCATATGGAAGAGATGTTCTCGAATAACATCCCCATATCAGTAGGTGGAGTATAAGGAGGCCCCCCAATCGACGGAGTGACGACCTGCTAAGACATGCAGAAAGTAGAAGAATGCAGGAAGCAGGAAAGAAACTGAAACAGGAAAGATATGAGGCAAAGCGTGGATGCCTATGAGTCAGCAGTGGACTATTGACAAGCTGTAATGAAAGAACAAGTGAATATCAGGAGTCTGTTTGCTTATTGTTTTCCGTCTAATAAAAAAAACTGAGAACTTCGTAATACAGAAAATTTTGTAAAGAAATCATCGTCCTTTTGTAATTATTAGATTATAGAGTAGGCGAAGATTTTTCGATGGTCTATTAAAATTTAAAACCCTTAGTGTTACCTTTTTGCTTTAGCAACACTTACATAAATATTATTCATTACCTGGAATCCATTTTTAGGGTCGGCTGTATAACGGACAATACGAAGAGAACCATCGGGTTCGACGAGGGAATATTCGCCGCTTACAACATCGCCATCCCGGTGCTCCTTGTGGTTCTGAAGGTTGCCAGTGTGCGGGTCATCTACTCCATACGCATAATGGTAATCCGGCTTTGCCTGTAATCAAACATAGGTAATTTTAAATTGCCGTGTGGTGTCGATGTAAGATAAGTAACCCATCACCAAGTTTCGTCTCGTGGGTATCCTAAGAGGTGACAATGAAAATTGCCAGAAAGTTTCTATGGTTTCCGACAGGAGGCAGTATGACCATCTTGTTTACACCAGTCCTAAAATATCGTCAATGGTGTGCGGCGTCTGGTACCGCGATGTCAGTCCGTCTGCTAAGGATAGCGATCAAGGCAAATCCCTGTAGGAGAGACCCTTGTCCAGACGCGGACTTTTATGGGCTGATCAAAAAGAAGAAAGAATATACATAACAAATTCAACTTTATCAAAGCATACAGATCGAAATCTGTCTAAGTACGCTAAATTTATCAAAAATTGCGCTTCAAAATTATCAATGAAACCAACGTATACTAAAAAAAGGTTTTATATAATACACATTTTGTTGCTGTCCCGCTTACATAGAAGTTTGATTAAATGGCAAACCTAGAGGATTCGCTATGAACACGCTTTGTTTGCGATAAGCATAATATAATCAGTGTAAAAGAGATTGCCGTGTGCTTTTATTAGTGTTCTTCTATTGTTATATATTTCTGTTAACGATCACGTATCTGGAAAATAGAGCAACACGGGCCACCGGCGCGGCGGTCAGGAGCCTATAGCGTTATTTCCCGATACTGAAACTGTCATTTTTTGCAAAGGGAAATCTGCGCTCACAATTGTCTGTCTCTACGAAACTCACATACAACAATTAAAATAATAAACTAACAACACACACAGAGACTCTACATTATAACAGTATCTCTCGGTGACAACGACGACAACTCGAATACAGACTCGGATCAGTCGCTCTACCTCAATCTGAATATTGTACGAGGGCGAGCTGCCTGTGTTGGTAAACAAATCCGAAACAACACGACGGTTATTATTGTAGTTAAAAAATATCAAAATATTAAATTAATTTTATCGAAAAAGGAAATATGTATTTGTCTTAAATATCTTTTTAGGATATAGTTTTCATATAAGTAACCTTATTGTGTCTTTTTTTACTTCAGAGAATTCTATAACTTACCACATAGTCAACAGTTTTCAAGCGAGCATATTTGGCAGTTTCCGGATTAATTTTCCCAGTATTATGATCGTAACCGTAACTAGCGTGTTGTTGGGCAGCAATATTTTCCGCCGCTGGCACTTGAACTTCCACAATTTGACCGCTGACGGGACCACTGAATCTGCTGTATGAATAGCCACCAGGAACATGACTGGACAATGTACTTGAAGCTAGAACGACGATAGAACATACCTATGGGGAAAACAAATTTATTGCATAGTTTTATATTAATTTAATAATAAAAATGTTCAGGCAAAAAAACTTTGACTAAATATTGTTCGTTTTTATAAATAATTTTAATATTAAAATACTCTGTAATTGCAAAAAGTATATTAACCGAAAAATTAGAAATTGCGTGAAATAGTTAAACAAAATCTAAGACTTTATCTTAGAACGGCGGATGCTAAAAAGTGTGACGACCTTCACGGTCAGCAGCTCTTAACGAAAGTTACTCAATAGCAATGACAATGAAAATCGGCTGCTACCAATAATAATAGGCTTACAGTTTCTATAAGATTTTTCATATTAAAAAATCCCACTGTAAAAATCATGCAGACATTAAATGTAAAAAATATCAAAAACCCAAAAAATACGTAATAATTAAATATAACAAAAAACACAAACAAACAAATTTTTAAGTGCCTCATAACATCGCTATTTAAAAAACAAACAATTTAATGCGCTTTATCATTCCCAATACCTTAAAAAATAAAGCCATCACGTTGAACAATTATTATTTGGATATTGTCTTCAAGCACGTTTCCCCGTAGGACTGTTGCCGATGCTACAGGCATTGTGGTTTTATAGCGGCCGTTATTCAAGAAAGTATAGGTGCAATTGCAAACTTATTCAATTCGGTTGCGTACAAACTATGAATCAATAATTTTCAATATTCGGCACTACGACACTGAACACAATTGACATTACATTTTCACTTTTACACATTATTTTGTAGCATAATCTACGTCACTATTGAATAGTCACTATGAACATTTAGATTTTTCTTGAATGAGTAAAGCAAGGCTACTTTAGTATAATAAAAATTACTACCTTTAGCGAAGGTGGTAAATAACGGCAACTTTTACACGCAAACACATTTTAAAGTTTCATTTGGTCTTCACACCGAGCCGTCTTAAGAAAGACAAATAAAAAAGATGTAAAGGACAACATTATGTTAAATTTTTCTTCCGATCTCAATCTCTAGGCCTCTTAAAATAAATGAATGATTTTTAAACAAGATATATACCTCACACTTTAATAATTAAGCTTAGAAGGGGTTTCTGGTGACAGACTGATAGTGCTGAAATCCATTCAAAATGTCATAGCTAAATCCCACTGAATGGAGTAGCATTACCAGTGCTAAGATGTTGTAAATTCGCTGACAAATCAACCTCCCAAGAGTGGTATGGGTAAATCTTTACATATCTTTATATGAAGTGGATACCATCTAGCCTTAAGATACAAAATATTTCGTAAGCTTAACGATATTGATATAAATCCGTTTGGGATTACGATGAAACTTGGTTTGCTAAGGAATATAAAGAAACTGAACCTGTATCTTTTAATCAAAGTTTTATATAATATACTAGTTGGCCAGGCAGACGTTACTCTGCCAACCTGTACTTTCCGACAACCCTTCCTAAGAAAAAATCCTTAAATTCGCAATAAAAAATTTTGAGAGTCATTTATCGGGACAAAAACTATCCTAACTCTAAGTTGGACCAAAATGCAAACAGTGTGCAAAATTTCATTGAAATCAGTTCAGTAGTCGCAGACAAACAACGTGACACATAATTATATATATAATTATCCATCATTACAGCCCTTCACAAGTCCACTGCTGAACATAGGCCTCCCCCAAGGAATGCCACAAAGCACGGTCCTGAGCCACCTGCATCCATCGACTTCTTGCATATCTTACCAGGTCGTCACTCCATCTAGTGGGGGGACGCCCTACACTTCGCTTGCCGGTACTAGGCTGCCACTCGAGAACCTTCTTTCCCCATCAGTTGTAGGTTTTTTTTTATAAAGATATATATATATATATATATATATATATATATATATATATATATATATATATATATATATATATAAATGTTAGTTATAAAAGTAGGTATAATGAAAATGTACGCCGCTGGTACGTTAATTTTTTTCAAACAACGTATAGTGGTGGCGTAAAATATTCATTCATATTATCCCGTGGTTCCACTACCCCACATCATCCTGTGGGTTTTGTAGGAGACGACAAAGGGAAATGAACTGTGATAACAACTCAAAATAGTTGAAAAAAAACAGCGGTTTCCGACTTACCTGCCGAGCGTGGGAACTATGGCAAATATCCCCTATGAAGCAATCTGTGGGGAGGCTATGTTCAGCAGTAACATTTGATAGGCTGAAATAAAAATAAATGAATGATTTTCAAACAAGATATATACCTTACACTTTAAAGTATTAATATATGTTTTAGCTGACTTCAAAAAGTGATATATTCTTTTTTTGTATGTATGTTACTCGATATATTCATCAATTGTGGATCGATTTTGATGATTCTTTTTTTTACTAAATAGGATTAAAACAAATGTAGTTATTAGTTGAGGTGGAATTAAAGCTCCGCTGAAGGAAAAAGGTATGGAATCCTAGGTGGCCAACTACTGAAGTAATATGCCTACAACTTGGATGTGACTGGCATCTACTGGTTCGATTAGAACGTTGCGTGGCCTCCGGAGGGTTATCGTAACGTAAGGAGTCGGAGCGCAGGTGGCTGCATTTACCACTAGCGGGTTTGGATGTGTCTCGGCCTTCTCGAAATAGCGCCGAGACGTATTCCGTATTCAGAGATCGTCGGAAGTTGACAGTCCCTGTGTAAGTCAGAGTTTCGCTGGTACCACCGAGCTCCGGTGGCTATTTTGGACGACTTGGAGGTCGTACAAATGATTATGGTTTACGTTTGCGAAAACTGCTCTTGCGTAAGACATGACAGGTCTTACGCACGCTTTATAAAGATGGATTTTGTGTCTTAAGGACAGTTTGCTTCTGCTGGTCACTAGTGGGTGGAGGCGACTAGTGACAAATTTGGCGCGGTTGCTGACGTCGCGAATGTGTTTCGCGAATATTATACCGTGGTCAAATGTGACCCCTAGATATTTGGCCGTTGATTGCCAAGGGATCTGGCGGCCGTACAGGGTGATCGTACCTAACTTTTTCTTGGGGTTTCTGATTTGACGATTGAAAGTGGAGACCCTTTGTAAACGTATTGCTACACTTTTCTCAGTTGTAACCAATCGCCTAGGCGGTTGATGGTTGTTTGGAGCATCTTGGTGAGGTATCTTGAATGTGGATGAGCGACGTAAAGTGCCGTGTCATCTGCGAAAAGGGCGGTATTCACTACTAGGTCTTTCGGGGATGTCACTCGTGAAGATTGTCAAAAGTAGTGGGAAGTGGACGGAGCCTTGTGGGACTCCAGCCTTGAGAGGGTGCTTTGTAGAGCGAGTACCATCTATTCGATAGCGAAAATGGCGATTGGCAAGAAAGGCTCTGATGATGTGGATGAGCCTATCAGGCACGTTGAGTTTGTCTAGCTTGTAAAACAAGCCGTTGTGCCAGACTTTGTCAAACGCTTTTGCGACATCTAGGAAGATGGTACCGGTTGAGGTGGTTCTGTCACAAATTTGTGGGAGGTTTTGAACCTTTTACTTTACACATCTTTCTAAATGGAAGAAGATTTAGATTATTTCTTTTTTTTTAAAATATTATGCGACGTATCTTCAGACAAAAAAGACGGCTTTCTGAACTTCCGAAACTTACATATCTAGCAGGTAGATAATCTTTATATGATACGTGAGGATATCTCTCATGTAGATGTTAGCTTAAAATAAACTATTGTTCAAGGATGTAAGACGGCAAAATTAAAGGTACATTCAAATTCGACCAGTTGCCAGGCAACTTGGATGGCTCAAACATTTTCTGCAAAATGATCTTCTCGTATTGTCAGGAAAAGTGGCCTTGGCGAACCGGCAAATTATGTGAATTACGCTGTCCCTCTCAGATAATACTTGGCTGCAGTGGTACCCCACCAGGCGCGTAATCCATTTGAGGTGTTATTATGTGGCCACCGCATCCGTCTGAACTGAGACCCTTTGGATATTTTTTTGTTGGGGCTGCTAAGGCTAATGTATACGAACAAATAACGAAAATTGGCAAGCTACATCGTCATAAAGCGGTTCAAGAATTTGAACAGAGCAGTATCGCTATATTCCATGGAAAAACACCTTAACACATACACTGCTGTCAGTCCTGTTTTAAATGCAATACCGTACAAAGTGACTGACACGGCAGCGAAAAGTTTAAACATTTACTGACTATTACAAAAATAAATTAAAGATTACAAAATATAATAGATACCAAATTGTCGTTTTAATTATTTATTACGCCCCATAGATACAACAATACACCATTTATGAACAAATATAATATGTACATATGTAACTTCAGTAGTTGACCATACAGGTTTCCATTTTTTTCTGCAACACAGATGTGTTGCAGAAAAATCAGCAAAGAATCAGCAACATGTGTCTTTTGTTTACTTCATTGTGCTCTATTCTTATTTAGGGATGTGAAAAAATAATCGATTTTCATATTAATTGATTATTTTTTTCTTATAATCGATTTTTCGAAGTCGATTTCTTTTATAATAAAAATCGATTTTTAATAAATCGATTTTTATGTAAATTACGCATTTCAATCGACTTTTGTAATCAGAGTCATCTGTGCGATGGATGTAAAAACGTGAAGTAAGTTCAATAACATGAATAAGTCAATCAAAAGACAGCGCCACCTTTATGTATCTCTATGTATGTAAAACAGTTTCGCTTTTCGTATGTTTTCAACAGGTTTCTTCCTCCGCTAGGAGTAAAAGTAATCTGTGGTTTTCTTTCTTTCTTTAGTTAGTGTAAACAATTATATATAAACAATAAAAATGTCTTGTGAAACGCGTAAAAGTGACTGACAGAAGTATTTTATAATGAAAAAATGATAGCGGCCAACACGTCAATAGGCCAAAATACTGAATTGGATCTATATATTGCGGCACCACTATCAAATCTCAAGACAGATGCCCTCAATATATGGAGAAGCTCTGAAGGAACTTTCCCTAAACTAACCGAATTGGCTTTTAAACACCTCTCAGTGATGGCCAGTTCCGCGCCAGCCGAAAGAATATTTTTGAAAGCGGGAAATATTGTCAGGGAAAAACGAAACCGTATTTTGGGAAAGAGACGAAGAAGAATTTAGGTGAAATGATTGTTTTTAAAGTCTTTAACTGAAAATTCATGGCAATATTTTTTTTACTTTTTTTGTTAACACAAGTTTAAAAAAAGATTTGTCTTGTATTTTAGTTTAGAGATCAAAGGGTTGTCGTTGGATTATTTATAATTATATTTTTATTTTATTTTCATTCTAATCCAATGTAAATGATGCTGAACATTAGTGGCATAATGATATTTAGACGTTTTGTTTGTTCCAACTTGGTTTAAAAAAAAACTATCGTTTACTAAAATTATGGTTTCTTAATGATTTCTTATATTTACGCGAAGACTACACATTAAATGAAATTAATTTTTACGGATTTGATCACGCTCAATTTAACTTTTTAATTCCTGACGTTTCGGGTGCTTCACAGCTCCCATGGTCACGGGGTAACTGACGTCTTTGACGCCAGATGTCATATTTAGCCTGGCTAAATTCAGTTTTTGAATATTAATTTTTGGTCCGATCTACGCAGAATGAGCTTACAGTATCTTGAAGTCTTACAGTGGGTATGCTTGGGTTTGGATTTAATTTTATTAATTATAGGATGCCAAGCAAATGGCAGCACCCATCCATCTTCTCTATTGAAATTAGGATGTTTTTTAATTTCGATAGCCTCGCGAATCATCCTTGGTAGGAATCGGTGTTCTTTTGCGAGGATTTGTGGTTCAACTATGACATAGGGACGTTAAACACCTCAGTCCCCTCTGTGACCATGCGTGCTGTAAAGCACCTGAAATGTCGGGAATTAAAAAGTTAAATTAAACGTGATAAAATTCGTAAAACTTAGTTTAATTTATCGTTTCTGTTTATTTTGGTTGTAATAAATTGTTAAATGGCACTGAACATTTGTGGCAGTAATTATTTTTAGTTTTTTATTATTCAAAGTTATATGTTAAAAAAATTGTTCTGTAGTTTATTTCTAAAACCAGAAGATTATTTTTCGAATAAAATATTTTTTTTCGCAAAAATCGATTATTTTTTTATAAAAAAAAAATCGATTTTTCTTAAATCGATTATTATCACAAAGCAAAAAATCGATTTTTTATTAATCGATTTTTTTCACTCAATGTCACATCCGTATTCTTATTACATTCGTATCTGTAATTATAGTTATGTGTATTTATTTGGTTGCTCATCGTATCACCACGTCAAAGTGTTTTGAGTTTTTCCTACTTTGTTGATTAATGATTTAAATTTTTTCTTTTTCTAGAACTGTGTATTACATTAATGATGGTACATAATTTGACTTATATTTGGCTCTTTCGAAGTAAGTATGTATGCCTTTATGCCTGCTACGGAACCTGGCTAGTTGCTCGTTGTACCCCTGATTTCTTTCTGCTGCTCTGGCACTCGAACATATTGTTAAACCACCGATGTGTTTGGGCCAGGCATAGCCCTGGACTTCCTCATACGATTCTTTTTTCTTTTATTTTATTTTTGATAAATCTTCTACAATTTATTGGTACTCTTCTTTTGATTTGCTTTAGATGTTTTCTTTGACTGTTTAAACGTATTTTTTTATATGTTTTACTACATCTTCTTTCTTGAATTTCAACCTGTGTTATTTAGTGAAGATGGGCCTCTCTGCCCTTTATCACTAAAACGTACAGTTTAGTGGCGGTGTAAAAATATCTACTACCCCATATTATCCCGTGGGTATCGTAAGAGGTGACAGAAGAAAACAAATTAGGAGATGGGCAACAGCGTCTTCCTAATAACGACTAAAATAAAAAAACTACGGTTACCAACTCGCTTGCCAGCGCGGAATCAATTGCAAATATCCTCCATAAGCGGCAATCTATGGTGGAGGCCTATGTAAAGCAGTGGAGATTAAATAGATCTAAATAACATGTCTTTCATATTATCGAAAAATATTTTATGGTTATCGCAAAAACGAGAACTCGAACGTCAACGTTTGTTCCCGGCGATTAGTTTATATTTTTTTTTTGTTTCTATTAATTTATAGTTTTTAAATATATATTTTTTCGAGCATATATCTACTGTTTTGAGAAATATGAGATTTGCATGAGAGCGAGCGGCCTATATTGGTAAACAAATCCGAAACAACACGACGTTATTATTGTAATTTTAACTTTAAAAAGAGGTTAATAGCAATAATGTTATTAAAATTACTTATAGAGTAACACGGATCACTGGCGTGGCGGATCGGAGGGAAGTAGCCATACGCAGGCGGTTCCCTCCATCAAAGTATAAGTTCGTACAATAAAACGAGTTGCAGCCAAGTATATATACACTGCTATATTCTTTTATAGTTCAATATCTAAACCATACAAAGGCGAGAGCGATTACGCGAGATATAGGCGGTGCGGTTGCTTCGTGACTTGCGAGTTTGTGAACCCCGTTCAACACAAGAGTGCATATGCTAGCCATAAAAGGCGGTAGATAGGAAACCGGGAAATGGGTTTTGCAAGAGGAGAATTATTAACAAATCTAATAAGCGTTAGGCGGTTGTTGCAAAGTGGCGCGAATATCTGCATCTGGGAAATACGTTATGGCAATTGGCTACTCTTCTCCGGTCTTTTCTGGTTAGCCCTTGGACCGTGTTGATTTTCGTACATAATGAAAGGAAAGGTAACACCATAATTTTTTAAATTTGACGTGACAGACCTCTTTTTGCAGCAGAAACACAGAACAATTCGGTGTATGATGTAAGACTGTGTGGTATAAGACCTTTGCCAGGCTGGTGCAACTTCCATAGTAAAAATTATATGTACTACAGGGGTCAAATTTTAATGACGGTTACTCTTTTTTATGCTTTTCGTGATATGTCTAATAACGACATTGTCAAATGAAATAGGTTCAAATGTCAAATCAAACAATTATATTTGTATATATTTTATTAATTAAGATTGCTTTTAATTTTGCTATAGGAGCCGTTGTTCATTTACAGAATTGTTAAGAAATTAAATATGCGTTATAAAACTTTCCAATTAAATGGTGCAAGAAGCGGAAAAAATGATAACAAGAAAAGGCTATTCGTAACAATATTTCCCTTAGATGATGAAAGGTATGTGGTGATTTCAACTTAAATAGTAATATGATATTCAACGCGAGTATATTTTTGGACTAGCCATCTATGTAGGACATGTTTTTATAGTGTACGATTATGTGCACAAATACAAACACACTATTTCCTAAATCTGATAGTTCGATGGTTTGGCAATCCGAAACGAACTATACTTAGAAACTACAAGTCAATTCTGACTGCTAACATTCTATTTGTTCAATAATAATGTGATTTTATTTATATTATTTTTTCAGATGCAAGCAATGGGTGAAATAGCTGGCACATGCACTAATTGAAAAGATTCACATGTTAAGACATATTTGTGACAAACATTGCATATGAACCCAACTAAAACGAACTGTTATTTCTTTAATGGACTTACTTTAAACTTCCACAATTTATGTGTATGTTAATTAGGTTTCATTTACATGTAGCAAAAGATAATATTCCTCTAAAGTCACATTTTGGCAAGAATTAGATTATATAACTAAATCATTATTTTATTCATCAATAAACATTAGCTATAATGAGCACTTATTTTGAAAGCGACAATTAATAAACAATCTCTGCGAATAGTATGTACATAGGTGCCTCTGTGAAGAAGCCTAGCGATTTGTACATAGTATTTGTTACACATAAAAGCAATTTAATCCAATCAGTATTAAAAACCCAATATTTTTACCCTTAAAAAAACTAACGTTGAAAACAAGTATCCAGACGCAGACTATTTACCTTACAGCATAGCAACAATTGTTCAGTGCGGGAAGGAAGCCTCGGTCCTGCAATGCGCAGCCAAACGCTTAGCCACTGCGCTACGGAGTCGTCATTTATTTTTTACTTAATTAATTACTAGTATAAAAGTGGGTTTTTTATTTTATATTTTTTTTATACATACTTTTGTACCTAATTGTAGAGATAGAGATATAAATACAAATTGCTGTGTGTAAAATAAATTGATTTCTTATCCTCATCGGCATTTTTACTCAATCCACACGTTAAAAATTTTATTTCTCTCTATATTCAGTATAGAGATCTAACTTTTCTTATGTAAAAATATCGATAAACAATATATCGATAAAAGTTATATCGATAAAATTATTCGAGGATAGACATTTACAGCACTATTGTAATTCGTCAATGTTGTCAGCTTTGTTTCTCAAAACTAGATGTCATATCTTGATGTTGGTAGAGTAACTTGGCGTAATTACATGCAATTATTTTTACTAAAGTCCCGCCTCTTAAACGTAGTGATTATATTCTCTTTGACCTTTGCCTGCCTTTATTGACAAATTGTAACAAAAAACAAAAATAACAACGAAACGAAAACCGAAAACTAATTAACTTTTAATGTAAATTGTAAACAAAAGTTAATAACGAATTCGAAAATACACTTAAAATAAAATAACAATTTAGAACTGTAAATACATTTTTATATTTTATCGTTAACCTAACATGAGCCCAAAAAAGAAAAAGCCAAAACTTACCGATAGAGGAACATCTAAGCGTGGAATTGATGCAGACGCTAGTTTTCATAAACGATCTAAATCCGAAAACTGCATGGTGGAAATGGACATACAAACATTGAAAAGGAAGAACTTCGTTAAAGCTTGTGAAAAAGTATCTTATAAAGCTTATCTAAACTATGCTAAAAGATTCAAGCTAATATATTTGCCAACATGCATGCATGGATTCAATTGCAAACATCAGAATATCAAAGATGGTGTAAGCTACATATAACACTAAATTTAATAATTCATAAGTGGTAAAACTTTAAAAAAAAATTGTATTACCTCTGCAGCTCAATTAGGCTCTACTGAGACGACTGGGAAAGGAATACGTTCTCACGGAATACCATCCTAGAACAGCAGGTTCTTGCTGCTTGCTGCTGTTTAGTATGATGCGTGTAAAGAACCGGAGACCTATTTTTACTGATAATAGCATTCCATCATAGTTCTCAGGGATGACAATTTGATTCCTAATTGATGTTTATTATGCATTCAAATCCTCAAGAATAGCCTTCTCCATAGCTCGCTAAGTGACTGAGCTTTCTCATATGGCCATTTTTTTAGAATATGGTTGACAAATGAGCATACAGTCCACCTGATGATAATTCGATGCTGTGGCCCATAGACATCTATATTTTATCCTAGATTAAGAATCAAAATGCAGATGTGTTGTCACCACTGAGGACAAAGATGGAATGCCTCATTTCCTGTTAAAAAGTTCTCTGATTCTCTACACTCACCATACGAAACAGCAGCATTAAGCTGTTATTTTACACTGGTATTCTGTGAGAGTGTGGTCATACCCCAGTGGAGCTGACCCATTCCTGCTATAGCCATAATATAGATGCAGAGTGGCTGTACCACATGAACAGTCCCAGATCCATAAGTCAATATTGGCAACTTACACTGGTTGTAAAATCATTTTGAAGTTTGAAGGTATTGCTGACGAGAAGATGTATCGTAATCTCTCATGTTATTTAATATGCTCACATCATCAAGAAGGTCCCAATAAATTCACATATTATGATGGGCAACTATAGAACCCTACCTCTACCTTGTGCTTGGCCAGCACACACTTGGCTGTTTATTTAGCTCTAATATATTTTTTGAATATGCAAAAAGGGTTAGCAAGTGGGGGAGTCATGTAGGCCATGGCCGCAGGTACCATTTATTAGGAGGCAGCATTTTGGGAATAAAAGTAAGCTCCCCACCTTATCTTTTTTAAATTATGTCAGTAAAAATCTGAAAATTAACTGATGACTGATTAAAATATTAAAATGAGATTTTAATATTTTCTTCATTATATTGTTTTATTCATTTTTATATATTTACAAAAGAATAATATAGTTCAAAAATAGAGAGGGTCAACCATATTGGTTGTAAAAAAAACCAATGGATATGTAAAAAAATGTTCCCTCAAACACAAATTGAAATGTAAATATTTAAAGGAAAAAGTAATGTTTATTTTTCTATTTCAGCTTAATTTAAAACAGATGCCATCATATGCTGAAGAATCATTTAAAATAGAAATGAAGACAAACATGTGGTGTGAAGCTTTGGAAGTCTGCTTTTTGTGTATAACCCCTACTCAATATTTATCAGCAAATGTTCTGATAAATGTAGTAGAAATAATGTTGGTAAATATATTATTAATTGCTTTTTCTTACTATTGTTATCAGTTGTTATCATTTAGTTTAATAATACCTAACATAATTTAGTCATTACAAAACTAGGCAACATAAATTAACAAAAAGGAAGTTAAAATGAGGAAAATTATAAACAAAGATATATTTTTATTTATTTATTTAATGGACATCAATAACCATACAGGTAATTTATCAATTTCAGAATGCTCATGGAGATCCTGAAGCTGAATTTACGATATCATACTTATTAGAAAAATGTCAACAAATTTTATCGCAAAACTTTAGTACACATCCTCCATGTCTTGCAAAGTCAATTAGAAAATGTTACAAAAACTTCCTGACATCCCCAATGGACTTGAAAGAAAACACATTTACTAATAGAGCAGAATTTGATTGTAATAAAGGTACTGTCAAGTATTGTATGAATAGACTGGAATATGAAATCAGTTCTGAGAGCAAGGATGAGGCTTTAGTTGATAAATATGAAAACATTCCAGAGGAAATGAAGGAAAGTGTCAAAGGTTTACACTGGCAAAAAGAAAAGTTTGAAATATTTGAAGCATTGGAAAGAACTGACAGAATCAAAAGGCTAATGGCAGTTCTAGAGAGTATTGTCGAATTACTACAGTTTGACTTAGCTATATGGCATTCTCGGTAAGACATGATATTAAAAACTGTTATCTTACAAATTTAAGATGTAATCACAAAGATTGTAAAAAAAAAATATTAGAATAGGCTTTAAGTTACTCTCAAATAATATTCTGAAAGTCATTTTGCTACGATTTTATTATGTTTAATTTACTTACTCTATGTATTTCTATATGTGGTAGATCCATACTGCAGCTATATTAGTAGTATAGTTGTAGCACGAATTGGTTGGCTCGACTGGGGAAGGACCACGCTCTCACAGCATACCAGCATTAAATAGCAGCTTTACACTGCTGTGTTTTGTATGTAATATAGCTGCAGCATGGCTCTATCACGTATTAAAGCATGCATCAAGTGCATAGTGAGAATAAAAGTCATCAAGATTAGTTTCATGCAATGTGTAGTTTTAGTGTAAAGATAAGAAATCATAACAATGCTATTATAAAATGTTACATTCAACCTAAGCCATGTTTTTTTATTTAACATGCAAGTAAACATGCAACACCAATTGTGTGTACATTGAGAAAGGTACTTGTTAATTTACATAATACATGTGCCTAAAATCAGATTCTGTGAAATTTGTAAATGTTGTTTAGATGAAGGTCAACCCTATATTTTTAATTATCTATGGCAGTCTAATTGTCTGTATCACACTATATGACTATCTTTGTCCAGATATTCTATTTTTTTAAATCCTTATTGTATTTGCTTAGAAAAAAAAGGATATAAAAATGTCGGACTTAATGTCTCTTGTCCTATAAATCTTCTTTCAACTGACATTTAGTTAGTTTGCGTCAATAAATTCATATAGATTTTAATAACTCAAATAACATAATATAACTTTAATGTTTATCAATATTAGCATACTAATGTGGTTTAACAAACTGCAAATATCTTTTGCTCTCATTGATTTGTCATTATTGTAATAGGAAATTTAAAATAAAGCTTTGTACTATTTATTACACATGATCACATATTTACTCTGATATTGAATAGTGAATCAAAACTGCTACATTGGAGAAAAAGAATTTCATTCTTTAATCTGAAATAACTCACTGCTGGACATGACCCCTCTGATTGTAAGGACATTTGCCATACTCACTCATTATTTGATACTACACCCTATCATAATGCCGGCATTTTATTTCTGGCATACGTGAGATGATTATTCTCCAGTCTGAAAGACCATGAGGACTTTCTGGCACCACCCAACATTTTATTGTACCTATGCATAGAACACTTACTCCTCATCTATGGGATGAGCTGTATTATATCCAGCACATAATTATATGAAAAGTAAAATGTATATGAAAAGTCACTTCATTTCTCTAATGGCTGTAGAAGAGGTGTTTGACAAGCAGTAAAATTAAAAATTGTGTAGAACCAACTTCAATATTATAGGTAAATAAAATAAGAACATCATCAATATAGTAGAAGTCAATCAAATATGCATTATTAAAGATAACTCAAAAACTACTGGTCAGACCTTGATCAAATTTATATGGGACCACATGAGAAACACCAGCTTTCTAATAAAAAAGAATCATCAAAATCGGTTCACTCAGAAAAAAGTTCCGAGGTAACACATTTAAAAAAATACAGTTGAATTGAGAACCTCCTCTTTTTTGAAGTCGGTTGAAAAGGGATTACAATAGTATACAATAGTAAATCTTGCTGTTTTATTCAGTGCTACTGTTTCACTGTTTCAGATACAGTAACAATTTGAGTTGTCATATTATGAGATCACACAGGCCCCTAATGGCTTTTGTTCTATGGTCAGACAATGTACTATACACTGGCGCTGTGAATAATAACTGCAGACAGATTCTTAGAATATTTGTTTATATGGTACATCTTCAATATCCAGAAGCACACATTAGAATTATGACTGTAAGCTAATTAATTATTATAATTAGAATTTATTTATTATGTACTTGCTGTTTTTATTCTAGAGATAAACTGTGTTGTTTCAGATATGGCTTAACACAATAGTACAAACATTTTATATTTGTGAAAATGGCTCTAACAGTGACTTTCCCAATACAGGAAAATATTGCACGGCCTTTGCTAAAGAGTTTTATAAAATTATTTCAGGTATTTGTAATATTATTCTTATTTATAAAAATCTCGTTTATCGTGTTCTATTAAATAAGGTACGTTGGGGTAATACCGGACGGATTTTCGAATAGTTGGTAGAGTCTGCCAAAAACTTTAATTTCTCGACATTCGTATACGTCAGATTTATGGAACATGGAGCAAACCGTTAATCGTTAAACGTAGTTTAGCTCTGAGAATCTTTTGCTTGTGTAAACTCAACGGTTTCTGCTTTAAAGGTGTGCGAAAACTAGACATACTTTTTTATATGCATAATGAAAAATTGGCCATTAAGGGGTAACACCGGACTTAAATTTAAAACCACTTCTACTGCTTAGAGAAAAAAGTTTTTAAAAGAGATTTGTCCTAACTTTAACGCTCAAAAACATATTTCAATATGATCTATAAATTACTAGAAACAAATGTTCCAAACGATTTTCTCTTTTTTTGTTTCTCGCCATCCGATCTTATTTCTGATATAAAGAAATTGTAATTTTATGTTTCTCAAACTTTGTTATGACATAAGATGGAATTACTTAATATAAGAGAAAGATCGGAAGCATTTGATTTTATATGGGAAAAAAAATAACAGTAAGGACTGGCGAAATGCCCTGGGATAATGCAGGAGTTAAGGAAGATATAAATATTTTAACAAAGCGGCATTTATTATTATAAATTATTTTTTAAATAATTATTATAAATTAAATTTTGATTTGTAATAGAGGATAGATATAGATGTCTATGGGCCGCAGCAATCACTTAACATCAGGTGGACTGTGTGCTCCTTTGTCACCCTTATCCTATAAAAAAAATGTATTTTAATGTGTACTTAAAAGTAATAAAACCATCGTATTGTTTTATTACTTTTAAATATACAGACTTGCTAACGAGACTGAGTCCCATAGTCACTTGAGTAATCAACGAAAAAATATACACGACCAATGAAAGTTTAACAACCACTGCCATATTTGTAACAGGCAAAGATCGGATAATATTCATCCGATCTTCACTCACGAGGGGAAACATCGGATCTCGGCCTACAGTGATCTTACCCCTGCATGGACCAGCTTTATTTAGCTATAACTTCATAAAAATTAGTATCCACACAAAATAATAACAAAAGAAGCCATATTCTCGCTAAAAATCGTAAATAAAAGTGATAGGGAAAGATCGGATGGACAAAAATAATACAAAAATTACATTGTTTTATAAAATGCAACGCAGCACAGGTCCCACTTGCCAGAGTGACTGGCGCGAACTGAGGGTCGGGGCAGGATGAAATGGCGTCGTGTATTGTTAGCTTTTCAAAATATAGCATAATTCGCCGGGAATTTGAATCCTACGGTCTTGCCCCATCACCGATCTTACCCCAACGTACCTTATACATAATTATATAACAACTCATAACAGTAGGCATTTGCTTAAATTATAGGCTTTAGTTAAAATGCCTTAATAGACTTTAGCTATAAAGTAGTAAAATACTTTTTCAATTTCTATGTCAACAGAATAATCATTAAATCAATGGGATATTGCATAAAGCATAACTTTGTGAGACCTTATAGTGTAATTGCTAATCTTATCAATGCGGGGCCACGAGTTCACATATGGAATATGTGTTTGTTTAGCCTACACATATTTATTCTAGTTCAGGAAGGTTGTCTGTAGGCAATTTATGTTTGTAAAATGCCGCCACTATAGGAAGGTGCACTACACACCAGAATTTTTCCCTGATCCATACTTATAAAACTACAAGCAATATTATATACAGTCAATAAGATTTTAATAATCAACTTTGTCAAATCAAAAGAACGAATTTACCTAATATAATCTTATTAAATTCTAAATTCTTAATCTAATATAATTTTTAACATTGATGAAAATTTAATTTTTACCCTTTTGTGTTTTCTCGGATTATTTAATAAATCAATTATAGTGATGCATTTCATTGAAAATTGTTTAATTCTATTTCAGGTGTGCCTCAAGTGTCTATAAACAAAATATTGCAAAGAATACAGCCAACTTATATGCAGTATCTTATAGGAATTCAACATATACAATCAGTATTATTAACAGATGAAGAAAATATTATAAAAATTATCATTGATTTTGTTGAAAATTCACAGTGGGAAAATTATGAAGAGAGTAGTGGCACAATTGAAATTGTCAAAAACACTGCTTGGAAGCAAAGGAGAGTCAAAAAAGTTGCAAGTTTTTTATCAAAGGTAATACATAAAGCACAGAACGCAAATTGCTTAGATAGTAAAAACCAAGATCTATTCCCTAAATTTGATCCAAAGGACATTGATAACACCACTGCACTTAAACAAAATGATATAGTTTCAACTTTATATTTAACATTAGATTCTTATTTGGATGCATTTAGTGTACAGAATGTCCAAGAAACATTAGATAGACTTAATGAACAGTTGCTTCAAAAAGGATTTATGGAAGAAGATATCACGGATTCCATATCTGAATATAGTTCATACTCTGTTACAGAACATTTTATAAAAAAATATCGTTCTATGTATCAAATGTTGAAAGAGCTGATGTTAGCACTACAAAAACTAAAAAACAATGAACAACTACCTGATGTACTAAAAGTGTTTGAGAATATTGGTCTACTTGAACTGTAAATAATTGATTTTCATTAATAGATCATGTGTTGTTATAATATAAATTTATTTTAGAACAAAACTATTGAAACATTATTTTTATTTGGTATAAAGGAGTAACTACATTTATTTAGCTCCATTCGCGTTTTGATCATTCCGCTTCTATCAGCCGCGTGCAGCATTGTAAGATTGTAAAAGGCCATCATAGCATGCCATCTCTGCTGAAATGCTTCGATATGCTGCGTTCAGTACTAAGTAACTGAGAAGTTATTATATCCTCATGGTAAACTAAATTTCATTTGGTATTGCACTCAACATCGACAGATCCATGTGCGATGTTATTATCGTTACGCTTCTTTCAAAAGAAATGGAAAAATTGTAACGTAATACATGTAAACTACAGTGGGCCCGACCCCCTTTACAGAAACAGAATATACGCAACATTGATACCCAAATTAAAAGAAAACAATATTAAATTTAAAGAGCATTTTAAGATGAATATTCAAAAATTTTACGAAATTGCAGAGCTATTGCGACCAGAGTACAAAAGCAAAATACAAAATAATTTCTGTTTACACATTCTCTCAATGATTGTATGCGAGATGATTGTGAATCAAATGTATCAACCAATGCAAGTCGCAACTTATCATCGAGGACAGCCCGCGTACAGCGCTGAACGCAACGGAACAACACTGAAAGTGGCAGAACAGCGGTCAAGTGGAAGGAGCTGGAACGGCTCCCCAGTTCCAGCTCCTTCCACTTGACCGCATCCAGCGCAGAGCGGCTCGAATCGTCGACGACCGAGTCCTTTCCGATCGGCTCGATTCAATGGCACTGCGAAGAGATGTTACATCCCTTTGCATTTTCTTTCGCATCTACCATGGGGAGTGCTCTGAGGAATTGTTCGGATTAATCCCAGCCGCCAAATTTCACGAACGCACATCGCGGCAGAACTCCCGATACCATCCACACCATCTGGATGATTGGCGGTCCACCACTGTGCGATTTAGAAGATGTTTTCTTCCTCGCACGACTTCCTTGTGGAATCGATTACCATCAGCGATTTTTTCGGACCGATACGACTTAGGGACCTTCAAGAAAAGAGCGTAATCCTTTTTAAAAGGCCGGCAACGCATCTGCAATTCCCTCCTAGTGTTGCAGTTGTTCATGGGCGGCGGTAGGCACTTACCATCAGGTGAGTCGCATGCTGCTCATTTGCCCCCTCTACTATAAAAAAAAAAAGTTTTTACCAGGAAGATGCTGTTGCCCATCTCCTGTTTAATTTCCTTCTGTCACCTTTTACAACAGCCACTTGATGTTTTTGTGGTATTGGATTCTCTTAAGCCACCACTATATGGTAATATCGCTGTTATTAATGGATTATGAAATCAGGTAGTTTGTTCAAAAAGAGTGTCTACTAAATATCTTTATATGTAAAAGTTATGTACCACATTGTTTGTCCACAAGGAACTCTTTAAACTACTGAACTGCTTTCAATGAAATTTCTTAAATGACCATTTTTATCCAAATAAGTGACCCTCAATATTTTTTATTGTGAACTCAAGTATTTTTTTCTATGATGAAGGGTCGTCAGAACAGGCTGAACGACATCTGCCCTCGTAGAAAAAAAGTAATACATGGATTAAGTAATTATGTATATTTATTTATTACTATGATATAAAAATGAAAGGTGACATAACAAAATATATTAAACTACTTAATAAATCAATATTGTTTGTAATATATACAGTTTTATTAATTTTGTGGTGAACAGGTGTAATATGTCTAAATTAAACCAAATAATAATAATATTTAATATTTAGGCAAAAAGTGGCCCCTAGCTTTCTTTGTATGCTTAGCTTTTTCAATATCGACATCAGGGTATTCTGCCTTTAACTTTTCCAAATCCATATTTGGAAAGCGTTTCAGGAGATGTTGAACATGATTGAAATTTCTATTGCGAGCTCTTCTTGTTTCATTATATTGTTTTTCCTTATATAACCGATAAAACTTCTTTACTGCAAGACTGTTAATATATCCATGTTCTAAATAAGGTCTAACCCAACGACTGTTCATAAATTGTGGTATGTGGTACTCTTGTTTCTTATATTTTTCAGGTAAACCAAACATATTCACTACATCTTCAACAGGGCGTTCTCCAGTCTCACCTGTTTCTAGCTTGTAATATGCAATATTACGTTCTCTTATTACAGTTTCAATATTGTTCATTGACTCTTGCACCTTATCAATTCTTTCAGGATTAGGAAACAGTCGCACTTTTTCGTAGCATTCATGTTCCATAGTATAAAGCATATTTCGTTCTTTTAGTAATATATACCATAGTTTATGTAAATCGACATTGGATTTTATTCTTAATTCATCCAATTTCCAAGCTCTTCCAACTCGTATGTTCGTTTCATTCCAATTTTTCTTAATGTCGAAAAATTCCATCAAATCACTGTTAGAAGGAGTTGTATGAAAGCCTTTTGTAATAACTGACGAAGCGCACATACTCGTTACATTTTTCGTACGATAACAGAAGCCAGAGGCATACTTTAAAACATTTTTTACTAAAGAAAAATTCATTTTGTTTATTTTTTATTTCAATTATTTATATTAAACCTCGAAGGTACCATGATAACCTCACTTTTTATCTATTCTATAGTATATCTTTTGTTTGTTACGATTCACCAATGAATACAGGCAAAAGTCTTTGACCATACAGCCGGGTCTAATTAGTATTTTATTTACAAGACAATTTTGTGCTGGATGCGAACTTTTTAGAAGGTATTTACAATAGCTTAATCCAACAGACAGTTGATGATAATTATATCTCAGGTACTTAGCGGATTTAATTAAAAAGCCTGATATTTATAATATCACCATCGAACCAGTTATTACATGGTTTCCTATAATAATTCACACCAGCAGACATTCAGTATACAAAATCGCACTATATTTACATATCAAAATCTACTTTTTATTACGAAACAGGAGCAGCAATCTGCTGACGGAAGTTTCCACCAAAATGTGAAAACATCTTCAAAATCGTTGTAATCTAAAACTCGATGAAACGAAAACGTGACACTAAAGAGAAACAAACATATACATCATATTTATGATTCAGCCTGCCAGAGAATGAGATGGTACAGTATACAGTGTTTTTCTGAATGTTTCACTTCTGCTGCTTACTGTGTATGAAAAATACACGTCTTTTTTTTTTTAAATAAATATAGTTCAGTCTTTTTAAATACCATTTTTTTAAAACAAAATAAGAGACGTCCACTTGCACTCCACTGTCGTCTGCCGGTACGATATCAGTCATCTATAAAAAGGTTGTTTACAGTACTTCGTGAAAGTTAAAAATTCAATAATTGCACTCTTACATGTGATTTTATTTATTTGATAATTTCATTAATTTTTTAAACTGTTTAGTTTAACAGTTAAAGTTCATATCAACCATCTTTAAAGCACCGCATAAAAGGAGACCGAAATAATAGGAAACACAATTTTTTTTTAAATATTAGCAATGTTATTAACATTACTTAAACTCACTTTCAGCACTATTGGTTAGTATAAAAATAAAACATGCATGTCATTCGAACCGGTAACATTTCAAGGTCGCTGTCCGCACACTGCCATTAGGCTATAGTCGCATACTACACTATATTCTGTCTCATTCTCTCGCAGGCTAAATCCTATAGATGTATACAATGACGGCATCCACGACTTTTTAGAAAAAATATATATATGACAGATTTCATAGCGGGGAAGGTAATTTGTTCGGAAAATGTAAAAGTTATCGTTTCTTTCTGTACTATTAGCTATATTTTATATTAATAACATTAAAAATAAATAAACCAACCACGGAATATTAATAAAAGTAGAAAAATTAAAAAAAAAGCTAAGAATGTGCAAAAACTTAAAGAGCAAACTACTGACGCATTCTTTTTTTTATAGAAGAGGGGGCAAACGAGCATGCGACTCACCTGATGGTAAGTGATTACCACCGCCCATGAACAACCGCAACACCAGGGGAATTGCAGATGCGTTGCCGGACTTTTAGAAATTTGTAAGCTCTTTTCTTGAAGGTCCCTAAGTCGTATCGTGATAAACAATTCCACTGAGAAGTTGTATGAGGAAGAAAAGTCCTAGTAAAACACACAGTTGTGGACCGCCAAGCATCCAGAGCATTGTATTGTGTATTAATATAATAGTCTAGAAACTGATAAACTTCTATTAAAAACAACTTCTCAATTAAATTACAAGCTGTAACAAAATACTTTATCTCAGTGTCAACTAGTGACATCTGGTGAGCAGATAATTATTAGACCTCATTTTCTCTGTTTAGTGTCACTTTCGTTTCAACCAGTTTCAAATCACAAAAAGTTTTCAGTAAACGTAGTGATTATATTCTCTTTGGTTTTCACTTCAAAAAATATCGATCAAAGAGTATATAATCACTATTCTCGATATAGAGTACTAATGTATTCTCGATCCTAGTTATTCGGTGTGTCAGTGACTTGGCTGAAAGCATTGTAGTTAATGCCATAATCTTTTTTTTAAACAGTCTGGAATGACGAAAAGCATATAGTGATGCGACTTTACGACGGCTGTGATACTCGAGTCATTCAATCTTTCGTTAGAGAAAGGTATTGTTCTGTGCATTCGATTCAATGCTAGAGTTTAGTTGGGATTTCACCAAAGTCACCCGAGTCATTTGGAAATTATTTGCTAGATTTATGTTGATATCTGGATCCACCTTATCAGCATTAAATCATAATATGAGTTAGAGTGATTTTTAATGCATCAATACAGACGTTTTTTTTTTTAAACTATTTTTTTTTTCTTTTGTAAAAAACGTTACCCCCACACTAGGATTTTCTCCTGTATCGTGGAGGCAGTTTACAAACACAAATTTCACAAGGACAAACATCCAGACCCGGAACAATCATTTGTAGGCCATACAAATACTTGTTCCGTGCGGGATTCGAACCCGCGCCCCCCAGCGCAGCAACTCATTGCTAAGCCACTGCGCCACGGAGCCGTCGAACTATTACTATTTATATGAACTAAATATTTAAAAAAATCAAATTATATAGAATTTAATTTAAATTTTATTATTATTTGGATTTTAAATGTAAAAAATATTATTTTAAAAGTTTTACAGTTATTTTTCATTGACTACGTAATTTGTATAATGAACGTGGTACACTCGTGTCAATAGTAACAGAAGCAGAAACTTTTTTATCCAATATATATTATAAATAATAATTATTGAAAGTTACTCTTTTGTTTAATTATCACTGGTTCGAAAAAAAACCTATGTCCTGGGAAGAACCAGCAAGAAACCTAGTGGAACTTTTTTTTAAAAATAACAGCTTACAATCATGTATGTTACACAATTAACCACATAAAACAATTAGAAATAGATTGGTAATGATCACCTCATTCCCATGGGTTATTATCATCCATAAATTCCTTAATATTATAATAACCCTTTTTCTTCAAACTTGGTTTAATAAAGATTTTGAACTTTGAGCAGGTCAAATAGAATGAATTACTGACTCGATGGTAAGCAATAGAAAACCACGTCATGAATTACTGTTCTACACTGCTCAAAAATAGAGCATTTAAGTAAGCCAAATTAAATATTAAGGCTATTTAATAGGTCAGGAGCCATAAATTGCTTCATAACCTTCACAGAAATGAGAAGAGGCCTGTACACATCTACGGGCCACATATTATACTGTAACTGTAGGTAATATTCTATTGTAGAACAGGAAATCACGTAGAACACGTTAAAATATCGTTAGTTGTTCTTGTTATTTTTCAGATTTCTTCGTTATGGATATCCAATCAGAAAAATTTCTAGCATAGTACCTTAAATATAGTTATCAATTCTCACGAAAACTTAACAGTTGACAGACAATTACCAACGCAATTACCAAAAGTTATCGCTTTTAGGTTGTGGTGTGCGCGCGCATCATAACAACTTCATGGTGTCGATTTTAGATGTCGGTGTGTGCGCGCATCGTAAAAATTAATTCTGATAATTTTTCTCAAACGCGCCAAAAGAAGTATAACTTCAATAAAATAACTTTAACATAATTTAATAGCTTACTAAGTTGGGGTGTCAATTCTTCTCTACTATGACTTAGCATCTACTTCAGAAGTATTAAAATAAATGAAGTGGAAATTATGTATGTAGGTAAACTTATTATTCTTTTTAGTTTTTGAAGTGAGGTTTATTATTTTTTTAAGTCTCAATAAATGGAAACTCAGTCACTCAGCAAGCAATAGATGCGGCCATGCTCGTTAGTGTTTCGAAGTCTGGCGATTAAAAAAATTTTACTCTTTTCAAAGTTTAAATATTTATCACTATGAATGTACAAAGTTTACAACGAGGAACGAGTTTTACAAAATCGTTCGAAACATTCGATTAATGACGATTCGAGTCGCATTACTAGCTTACAATGTGCCATAGTCATCAGAAGTTGATCAGTGTTTTGCTTAGAATTTTTCTATATAAAGTTATTACATAGTGGTAGAAGAAAATTTGTGGTAGGTGCTGTTTCTGTAATAACATGTTAAATTTGAGTTTTCGTGAAAGTGTGACTGTGTTTGACAAAGTGTTTTAAAATGTTGTGATACATTCTACTTGATCCTGTCGTCAAAATACACTACAAGGTACCATAACTACTGTTTGTGTTTACTACTATTTATATTGCTACTAGGAATATGGACCTGTGTTATGAAGTTATTCCAAATTTTATTATGGAGTAACCGTATTGAACAGTTGGACGTATTTCACTTTGAAATACGTATTCAACAACCGGGTTATATTAACCCTGACATAAGTAGTTTGAGAATAAGTTTGTTATGAAATTTCCTCACTCATAACTTTTTGTTTTGATTTCTAGTTTTATTTATAAAATGTTTTTACAAACAAATCGTATTATATTATATTTAATGTCTTATATGGTTTAAAACAGAAACACAGTACTACAGATTTTTAATAGTAATTTTACATTTTATCTTATTAACTTAGTCTTTTAAATGTCACGTTTTTTTCTCGGTCACATATTGAATTGGGATACTGCAGATTGCCCTGGCAGACAATAAACATGCAAACTTTTGTAATAGAATTTTCTTATTGTGTTATTAATATGTCAAATATATTTTGAGACCTTTTTTAAATAAAATTTTCTGGCTATAGCTGTCTTAATAAAACACTACTACTACCTTTTGGAATATTTTAGAATTGTTTCTGGTTTTTCCATGTGTGGTTGTTGTAAGAGGTGACTTGGGGGAAATGCTTGAGAGATATATCAGATTTTGTAATCTGGTCTAAATACAATTTTATGTTTTACCATTTTGTATTTAGACCAGATTTAGCACAGCCAGACCAGCGAAGGAAAGTAAAAAGGTTTAAAACATCTGGAATGCAATTGCCAATTTGCATGATAAGGATTGCAATTAAGGTAAAATGTATATTATTATAAATATACATATACTGGTATTTTTCAACCCTTGGAAAGTCCACTGTTATATACATAAATAATGTAACATATATAAATAAATAA